TTGGTTCAGACTCTTGGCCGTAAGATGAAGTTATCATGATCGTCGTCACGAGACAAAACAACAAGCACCGATGGTTTCTTGTTGAAGAAGCCATCGTTTGAAGGTGGTTGCAGGTGATTTTTCTTTCTTTCTTTCGAGATTATATTTATATGATATATGAATAAATTGAATCGGATTTTTTTTTTTCCGATTCGATGGAAAAAAAGAGAGAAGGATATCGGTAATGGTGTTTTCAACGCATGTTTTATGTATATTTTTGATAATTTATTAGGAGAGAATTGCTATGATTTTGTTGTTGAATTGAGATAGATAGGGCAGAGGGATACAATAAAACAAATTGAGTAGTGGTGATATTGACAAGGTCTGGTGAATGATTAGCTGTATTAGCCGGCTATTTTAGTATAACTTGTTTGCCAGTTTCCAGGTATATTGTTCATATAGTTTGTACTGGTTGGGTTGTGGGGGTGGGGTGAGAGGTTGACTAATGGGGATTGGAGGGAGGGGAATTTCCTTCATACTCTTGCAAAAACAATACTTGGTTTGTTTTAAGTTATTCATTTCGTTTTAATTTATTTGTCATATTTTAACTTGATATATAAAGAGTTTTAAGACTAAAACACTTTGCAAATGTTGTGGTCATAAGGTAAAAAAATATCAAATGTATCAAAATGTGTTTTAATATTCTGATTTTAAATATATCATGTTGAAAGTTAGAATCAAGGAGTTGCTAAAAAACAACAAGAAACATTTTGTTTTAAAGCGTATTAAAAAAGGAAAGTAAAACAAATAAATTGAAACTGAGGAAGTACTCTTAGACCATTATTTTTTATTTTTATCATAAGTTTTTTCAAATATTTTTCAGATATGTTGATTATTAAAGATTTTATATCTAAATTCACATCAAACATTAGTTAATTTGACATTTGTACTTAGAATCAAATCAAACAAATTGAAACAGAAGAAAGTATTTAACGAGCAAAAATGGATTTATTGATTTTTACCTTTCTTATTGGATATGACTTACTCCATATCGAAACAGTATAAACAATTTTTGCACAATAAATGAATTTAACAGGCATAAAAGGTAACTTGTGCTATTTTATGAGTTTCTAGTATTACTTATCATGCATAGCTATCATTAATTACTTTTTAGGTGATACAATAGTCTAAGAAAAAAGATTGTGTTATCAATATATAGAAGTTAAATATTTTATATATTTTAAATTTTGTGTCATGCGTTTTATTAGATTTGAGCTCGGATTACTTTTTTCTTTTTCGTTCTTTCTTTGTGTGATTATTCTTTCAAGAACTATAGTGGGTGAGATAGGGTGGTGGCTAATTCGGCCGTGGGATGATCAATGAGTGAGAGTTGGGGTATTGAATTGGGATGAAGCCCTATTGGCTTTATAATTATTTTTTTATTTTTTATTACAATCATTGATATTTCTTCATGAGAATCATGCGTCCGATAGGTGAAATGCAGACAATAAACTTAAAAATATCAATTTTTTTCTAAGAGAAATCTTATGACCAACCAAAATTAAAAAGCATTTTTCAATGAAATGTTTTTCTCGTACCAAATATATCTTAGAGATCTCCAAAAGCTTTCGGCAAATTATTCATTTACACGTTTCTGCTTGTTCTCTTTCAACTTTTTCTTGTTATTTAGGAAGGCCAAACACCAAATGACAAATGTTGCAAAGTCTATAATTTTTGCTTATTGATTTGACACACTTTTTAAGAAATAATAAATAAAATGATAATTTTATTATATTGAATATAATAAATTTAAAATTTTAAAATGTAACTAGAATTAATAATATTATAAATTATAGGAACCACATATTACAAGTACTAAATAACATCCTATCCCTTCTAGTTTTCTATTTACCAAAAATCCCTTAAAAATGATGTTTGCGGGATACATAGTGTTGTGCACGGGATACATTAGGTTTGATACATTCCACATAGCGGGATACATAGCGTTGTGCACGGGATACATGCGGGATACATAGCGTTGTGCACGGGATACATGCGGGATACATAGCGTTGTGCACGGGATACATGCGGGATACATAGCGTTGTGCACGGGATACATGCGGGATACATAGCGTTGTGCACGGGATACATGCGGGATACATAGCGTTGTGCACGGGATACATGCGGGATACATAGCGTTGTGCACGGGATACATGCGGGATACATAGCATTGTGCACGGGATACATCAACGCTCGGGATACATTAGGTTTGATACATTCCACATAGCGGGATACATAGCGTTGTGCACGGGATACATGCGGGATACATAGGTAAATAAGGGATTTTTGAAATTTTTGAAATAAGTAGGGATAGATGGATATTAAGGTAAGTAAGGAGTGTAGTTAAGTAATTTGCCTTAATAATAAAGGGTAAATTAAAATTTAAGTGATAAATTATCTCTTGATTTTCCAAATTAAATAAGAAAAACTAAACATTTATTTTTAGTATAAAAATAAGTAAAAGTAGGAAGGGAGTACTATAGTCCAATGTTAAAAAGATAAAGCGTTTTTTTATATAAAAAAAAAATGGAGTGTGTAACTTCTCATTTCAATTCTGTGATAAATAAAATAATGTCTTGAATTTTTCTACAATTAAATTTGGCAAGTAATTGTTAATTGGTGAAAACTTGTTGGTTCTAAACTTGGTTACAATTCAGAGTGAGTTAGATTTGATTATAACATGGTAAATATTTCTCAATCGCATGTTTACATTAAACCAAGTAATACAATCTTACTAATTAAAAATTAATATCAGACAAACACATATATCTTACTAGAGCCGTCAATATGGGCTAGGCCTGTTGGGCCGGCCTGGCCTAACCCTGGGATTTAATAGGGCTGGGCTAAAAATTTTGGAGCCCATTTAAAAAAAGGGTTTTTTAGCCTGGACTGAATAAGCCTGTTGATTTGTGGGGCTTGAGAAATATAGGTAGGGCCGGCCCGTGGGCTAATACAAATTAATTAAAAAAAATATAATATAATATTAAAATTTAAAATTAAAGAGATCCAAACTCAAAATCTATTTAAAGTTTTTTAGGAAATCACTAAGTATAGAAGTTGCATCCACCATGAAAATGTTCAAACACTTATTGCTACTCGAAACTGATCACATGATTTTTCTCAAATCGGTAATATATTTTTGTGTACATTTAAATATTATAATTCTCAATTTAGTTATTTTTTAATATTTAACTAATTGAAACCGCACATAAATTGCAGATGAAAATGAAGATGTTAAGACAACCTTCCCACAAGTTGATTCAGATATGCTTGATGAAGATAATCATGAAGTGTTAGATACGTCATAGGTTTCATGAAGTGTTAGATACGCCATAAGTTTCATGATTTTTTAAGGAGTTTATTTTTTACATTTTTATGGTTGGAATATTGTCATATTTTTTGTGTTTTATTGTGATCATTGCAAAACAGTTAGGTTAATATTTCTATTTAGATATTTATACTTTTACTTGAAAAAAAACTTAATAAATATTATAAAGATAATTTTATTTGTGGATTTGATTAACAAGTAGTAACATTAACACCATGTAATATTGTTTTGTCGATATTTATGATAATATTTTTAAATTTATAATTTAATTTAATAATTATAAAAAAATATATAACTTTTAAAAAAGTGGGCTGGCCTGGCAAGCCTGTAGCCCACGTACTTGTGGGTTGGGCCAACCGTTTTCTGGCCCACACCAAAAATGGGCTAGCCTGGCCTGGCCCGTAAAATGTCAAAGCCTGTATGGGTTAGCCCGGATGGGGTGGACTAGCCCATATTGACAGCTCTATATCTTACCTTCATAATTCCATTATTCAATGACTAGGAAAACAAAATAACATATACTTTGTATTTTCCATAACTCAACTACAATTCAACAACTTATTTTTTTTAAGATAACTATGATACCAGCTTTCGCACGCCTCGACTGATTCCAATGGATATATTTCATTATTTCCTTTCTTCTACTTTGAAGGTGGACATGGTGGCATCGGCTTCCCACATAGGCCCAAATTTCCTGTTTCATCCACACAAAAAGTGAACACAATAAATTTGTTTTATATGTATGTTTATTTTAACTAAAATTAAAAAGTATTTGGAGCATATGCATGCTCATGATTTCTATGCATTCTACAAATACTTTGTTCTAAGGCGATTTAGGAATTTAAATAAATGAATTCAACGTTATATTTAAGTTCCTATCACTAATAAAAACCATTACACTTTTAAAAGTATATGATCCAAATTTACTATTTGTTACTCCCTTCGTCGGAATATACTTTATGCACCGGATTATTAATTATTACTTCCTCTGTCCCAATTTATTTGACTTACTTTCCTTTTTAGTCAGTTTAAAAAAGAATGACACATTTTTATATTGAGTAATAATTTAACTATAAAATGTCCATTATACGCTTAATGAAACGATTTACAGCCACACAAATTTCTATCATTCATTTTGGACCACAAGTTTTAAAAGTCTTTCCTACTTTCTTAAACCCCGTGTCGAGTCAAACTGCCTCACATAAAATGGGACGGAGGGGTAATATTTATTAAGAGATTTACCTGTATTGCTACTAATAAGTGATCTGATAATCAATGTGACATTTTTTGAATTTCGAGATTTAAACAAGTACCGTAAATTTTTCATATATTTTTTAAATATTTTAAATTGTCAATTATTGTGAGGTATAGTAATTTTTACATAGATTATAAATATATAAATTTCACTTCAAAAAATTTAAAGCTTTCATGCGCAAATATTCGATCAAGCTTAAAATGTTTGACTCTTGATAAACAAAAAGTGTCACATAAACCGTGACAAGGGAGTACTAATTTAAAATCACAATTCAAAAAAATTTCTAGATTCAAAATTCTCTTTACTTTCTTAAATTTTATTTCAAATCAAAACGAAACCACCGAATTAAAACGAGGATATTTTTTCTTAAGATAAACTCTAACCTGCAAACGAGCTTGCACTTTGGCTGCTAAGCTGAGATGGTATTGGACCTTCAAGTCTATTATTTGCAGCATTTATTTGAAAATCCTTCTGACTAAACGCCGGTATTGTTCCATTGAATTTGTTATTTTGTATCTGCAGCTCAACAAGCTTCGGAATTCCCAATAACGACGTCGGAATCTTCCCTGTAAACTCATTATTCGCCATTAAAATTCTCCTTATCGACTTCATCCCGGCGAAAGCATCGTCCGGCAACTCACCGGAAAATCGATTATTCGACAAAAACACACCTCTCAATCGACCTCCGATTTTCTTCACGTTCGGAAACGGACCTTCGAAATTATTATTCATAATACTTATAGTAAGCAAATTAGTCAACTGAGAAAGCGTATCGACGTCAAGATTCCCCGATAATCCCATCGATTCGAGACGGAGACCGTAGAATTTTCCGTTGAAGCAAAGCAATCCGTTCCAATTTGAATTGTTGCCGGTGCAAAGCGGCACCGATGAATTCCAGTTTCCGAGTGATGATGATGACGTGGCGTTTTCGAGCGAAGATTTGAATTTAAAGAGGAGAGTTGGTTCAGACTCTTGACCGTAAGACGAAGTTATCATGATCGTCGTCACGAGACAAAACAACAAGCACCGATGGTTTCTTGCTGAAGAAGCCATCGTTTGCAGGTGATTTTTCTTTCTTATTTTTTCGTGATTATATTTGTATGATATATGAATTGATTGAATCGGATTTCTTTTTTTTTTTTCGATTCAATGAAAAAAAAAAGGAAGGATATTGGTAGTGGTGTTTTCAATGCAAGTTTTATGTATATTTTTGATAATTTATTCGGAGAGAAATGCTATGATTTTGTTGTTGAATTGAGATAGATAGGCCATAGGGATACAAAACAAATTGAGTAGTGGTGAGATTGACAAGGTCTAGTAAATGATCAGCTGTAGGGGGTGTACATTGCCGAGTTAGTTCGGATTTTTCAAATATCAAACCAAATTATTTGTGTCGGATTTTTAAATTTATAAACCAAATCAATAAAATTCGGGTTTTTCAACCTTGGGTTTTTTCGGGTTGTTTCGGGTTTTTCCGATAAAGTATTCATACAAACATATAATTTATTTGTACTTCAAATATTTCTTTAGTCCTACCAAAATACAACTATCTAAGGTGTTTCTTAAGAAAATAACACAAAATAT